TTGAGATTCACATTTGAGGGAGTGTCTTATCAATATACAGTCCTGCCTTTCAGACTGTCTCTGGCCCCATGCACTTTTACGAAGTGCGTAATCATAGCTCTTTCCCCTCTGAGACAGATGGGAATCCGCATTATGAACCTCGATGATTGGCTTGTGTTAGCCAGACCGGAGCAAGAACTTCTCGTTCACAGGTCACTGCTGCTCAGCCACCTGGAGCGTCTTGGGCTGAAAATCAATTTAGCCAAGAGCTCTCTGTCTCCCAGCCAGTGGGTGGTCTTTCCGGGGACATTTCTGGGCCTGGTTTGCACCAGAACACTTAGTGGCTAGCGGCGTCATTCAGAATCGGAACTTCTCGTCCCCTCAGAGTTTTCCAAAGGATGCTCAGCCTCATATCAGCCGTCTCCTCTGTGCTTCCATTGTGACTGCTCCACATGTGGCCCCTCCAATTTTGGCTCAAAGCCTGGATACCGTCTATGTCTCAGGGTAAACCACCACTGGTCAGAGCCGTGGCCCCTTGGAAAGCTCATCGCCTGTTTCAGACAGGCGTTCCATTGGGATTGCTCCCCGAGTTGATTCAGCTGCTATCGGAAGCTCCTTGGCCAATTCCAGGAAGGACCTCCTCTCTCAAGCGAGAGGCATGATCTGGCATCCCTGGCCTGAGCTGTGGAGCCTTCAAGTTTGGCTAATACCATTTTGGAGGCTAGAGCCCTGTCTACAAGATACCTCTATCCCCTTGAAGGTCAGTTTTTTCTGACTGGTGTGCAGCAAGGAATGAGGACCCGTCCTCTTGTGAAGTGTCACCCATTTGAATCTTTCTGCATAAGCTGCTGGACAAGGGGCACACCCCTTCCACGCTCAAAGTGTATGTGGCAGCCATCGCGGCGAATCACACTCTCATGGCTGGCCAGTCAGTCAGCAAAATGACCTAGTCATTAAGTTCTTGAGGGGAGCTCGGAGGTTGAATCCACCTCATCCTCATACTGTGCCAACATGGGACATATCCATAGCCCTTAAGGCCTTAAGGGAACTGAGGTTAGTAACCGGAGTGTTTTCAAGTGTGGTTTCGGTAACTTACAGAGATGCAGATATGAGCTGTGTGTCATCTGAAGGTTTTAGATCCAGTCACTGTTCTCGACTGGAGCTGCTCCCATCGATTTTGTATTCTATGCATTGATCTATTATAGATCCGTTATAGATCAGTGGTTCTATGCATGACTCAAATGCTCTTCAAC